CTCCTCAGATCTTCTGCTATGGAAGCTTGACAGGCTGGCTTCAGTTCCCTGGGCCACATCTGAAGACCCACGCTTTCTAAGTACACTTCTAGTCCTTGGCTGGGTCACTCTGGCAAACTGCAGGCCTCTTCCTATGAGGAACCCTGGCTGGCAGGCTCCTCATTGGCAAAACCACCTGTTAGTGCTGTGCTACACCCAGAATTTCTCACCGAGTCCTCCTTCCTCGTCTGCCTCCCTCCACAGGTGTCAGAGGTGCTGCTGGCTGCAAGCTGTCATCCCTGACCCTTTTCCCTCTATATATCGCATCTCATACTGGTAGACGCTTCCTTGGGGACCCAAGCGAACATAACCACAGTCACAGCAACACCCCGAAGGTGAGAATTCATGTGCAGGTGATTTATGAAGGTGTGTTCTCCATGGAAACTGGTAAAGCAAAGAATAATAGGGCAGAGAAGGGAACAATGGCAATTCTGGGCAAAATTCTTTCCTAATCCTGTAGTGAAGCTCTGTATTCCAGAGCTAGAAATCATTCACTCTTATGCTTATTTTGAATTATGTTCATTTATGTGGCCCAACTAAGTGCAAACAATTTTATAAGACACACTAGATAACTATATGTGTGTGTGTCTTTGTTTTCTGTTCCTCTAACAGAATTGAGATTCTTCTTTTTCCTTTAGTTTTTTGAGACAAGTTCTAATCCTAATCCAACAATAACAAAAGAACACTATTGACCCATTTACAGGGGCTTTGTTGCCATGGAAGGGGAATGAGAATATGAATGCTTAGAAATGACATAGACCAGGCCCTCTAGAATTTCCCATGAAAAGTTACTGAACAGAGATGCAGTCTCCCATGCATCTTACCTCACAGCCTACAGAAAAGTAGGTGCCCCATAAATCTAAGTGAAAATATTATGTGTCATTAAGTGTCTTCTTCTTCAAGAATTACACTTGCTACACATCCAATTGTAAGAAGATAATTTAAAACACACTGACTGGGCCCAAGACATAATAAGGACCCAAGAGTTTTAAGACTCAAGTGTAGGGAGCCGAGTGACAGGCATTGCTGCCTAGATGTCTCTCTCTCTCTCTCCTATGGGCACTGCGTCTGCCTACATTAACCATAATCCTCTTCTGCTTACGTCACTTATCCGGATGTGATGGTAACCCTGTTGTATTCATCTGTTTAACCTCTTCCTGTCCCAGCTCCCGCCCTTAGCCTATAAAAGGTGTGATTATTTTCTCAATAAACCGGAGGCTTGATTGGGTTACATCAACTTGCCTTCGTCTCTTTTTGTCTCCCCCATGTCTTTTATTTAATCCCCGTTTCTCCTCCAGGAGTTCCGAACTTGTTGATCTGCAGGCCGGATCACTCAAGAGGTCAGGCTTAGGATTGGAAACAGGCTGAGCCATGTGACCTAGGCAAATGAGCTCACTTCCTTTATTTGGCATTAAAGACCCGGGAAAGTAACAGTTTGCCATTCTATCAAGCATCTCTTTATGTTTGAATTAAATGGTATAATAGCTCCATCACTCACTTCAAAATACTACAGTATCCAATGAGGTAATACTGCATATTGTAAATCATAAAGTATGTAATCTCAATGTTATATATTTCACAGCAATGATTTTTATTTATTTTTTTAATTTATTTTTTGGTACCAGGGACTGAACTCAAAACCTTGTGCTTTCCAAGCAAGCGCCTAAACCAATGAGCTAAATCTCCAGCCCTCACAGCAATGATTTTTGCTGAATACCTTTTTAAAAGGTATTACGTACTTTAATGTCTTACCAAATAAACATAAATTTATCATGACTCAATATGAGACTTATATGTGCTGGTTTTGCCTTTTTTATTTAGCAGCCACAGATTCATACTTTTAAAAACGGCTTTTAAATTTTTTGTGATAAAATTTTGCAACTTAAATGGGGGGGTGGGACTGGGGATTGAGCTCTTTGGTCCTTTTCACTCAGTACAAAGTTCTCCCAGACCATTTTGAGACAAGGTTTTAACAAGTCACTGAATTGCCCAGAGTGGACTCAAATTTGTAATCCTCCTGCTTAAAACTTCCAGAGTACTGGGATTCCAGGTGTGCAGCACCATGCCCGGCTGTGTTTAAGTATCCAATTCACCATCGATAAATATATTCACAATGTCATACGGCCATACCACCATCCACCTCAGTAACTTTGACTGTCCCTTAACTGAAACCATATCTCTCAAACAGCAACCTCCAGTACCTCTTATGGTTCACCACTTTCGTTGCTTTACTTATTATAGCACCCCAAACAAGTTCAATCCTCTTCTTCCAAATACACTGTCAGCTACAACTTGACAGGAACTGTGTAAGCCATTTTTAAATCTATAGTATTCTTTGGCTTTATATGTTGCTACCCTAGGGTTCCAACTTGCCTTTTAAACACTATTTCTTTCAGAACCCTATTTAAAAGTTAATCAGCAGTCTCTCGCCCTGCCTCCCCACTTTTTTGGGGGTGAGTTGGACCTGCTACAAAGTTTAGGCTTGTCTTGAACTCACTATGTAGTCTCGGTAGCCCTTGAACTCCAGATGATCATCCTGCCTCAGCCTCCCAAGTGCTGGGATTCCAGGTGTGCATCACCATGTCCCGCTCCCTCCACACTTTTGCTCCTGCCATTTACTCTGTTTGGAATCTCTGTCCAACTTACCTCTCCTGTTGGGGGCCACTGAGGCTGGAAATTGAACACAACATGTACAAGGTGGAGCATGACCATTCCAAGAACAAAGAGCACCTGGGGTAAACACACCTGAAGAAGCTGCTTCTGCCCAGAGAACTCCTAGTCCCAAGACAGTCTGTAGAGTGGGTTGCTAGGGTGTCACATGGCACTAATTGCTAAAAGGTATAGATAAACAACAAGCAATGAGGAACCAGTACCTTCCCTCCTATGAGGATGAGGACTCCAACTGACCCCAACTGTCATGGTTTATGTTGGTGGCCCCAGGCCTCATGCATTTGCATTACGCATTTGTGATTGGTTCATTATATAGCTCTTGGATTGGGGGTGTGAGTGCTACACCCACATGGGGTGGAGCCAGGATGTGATGTAATGGCAGGAAGGTGTGTCCTGCTCTCTTTTGCTGGTTTCTGCCTTGCTGTTTGCAGCCGCCATGAACTGTGGCCTAGCCACGCCAGCCTGCCTTGGAGCCAACTGAGTATGGACTGAAACCTCCAAAACCTGTAAGAAATAAACCTTTCCTTTCCCAACTTTTGACATCAGGTATTTTGTCTCAGTGACCAGTAAAAAGTAACTAGGACACTAGCTTTATCGCTTATTTTTCTCATCCTCTTGCGGTTCTTCACTCAAAGAACCTCAAGGGCCGCATGCAGCACCCTCCTACCCTGCCTGTGGCAATGAAATCTTTCAAAGTCCAGTTCACATTCTAACCTCTAAAGGACGGCTGCTTGATCAGCTCAGATTGATCTACCTCCTCTGCTGTGACAGCTGTCACCTCAACTACTCAGACCAGCAACTTCACACCTTCTGTATTGTAACAGTAATCCTGTCACACCTTTATCAGATTAAGGAAATGTACTTCTGAGTTAAATCTCTTTATTTTGCCAACTTGAAATTTTAATTTATACACATAAAACTCAAATGATTCTGTTGATTCTGAAAAGGCTGTGGTCACTGTCATTTTCACCCACAGTTCCCATTTAGGGGCAAGCCTACAAAGGTCTCTCTTCCTTAGCTCTCTATATTTTTACTGGATGTCAAGGAATAGAACAAGTTAAGAGTTTGAGCCTCACTTTCTGCATTAGCAACACGTGCAAGGGAGCAAAAACTAGTAAAAACTGCCCTGCGCTTGGGCCGGTGCTTTCTTCCCTCCACAACTTAACTTCGGAGTTTGCTGTCGCTCCGCGGATCAATCGCCAGGTTTCTCCTGGGAAAATTAGGGAGGAAGACACGGTTTTGTAAGATTCTCCATCCCAGATGCTGCGTATTTTCCAATGTGCCATGAGTACCACACTCCTTCTCTGGATTTTTTTATTAGGACCTACAATCCACACTTCTGGCCACTACTTTGTTTTGTTTTCCCACTTATGTAGTTCCAGCTGGCCTTAAATTCACTACATAACGTAGGCCGGCCTCGAATGCGAAGCAATCGTCCTGCCTCAGCCTTCCTGAGTGCTGGGATTACGGGCGTGTGGTACCACGCCCGGCTTATTTTATTCAACAACTCCGTGAAAGTTATTTTTAATGTGGAAAAGGAACGTGCAACAGTTACTTTTTAATTCGGAGAAAAGGAACGTAGGCTCCATGAGCTATAGGGCCCCCGAAACCACAGGGTTAATAAGTAAATCCGAAGCCTGTCAACACTTCGCCTCGAATCTTGGGGAAACCCGCGGCCCGGCGGTGCCTGGCACGAACGCCAGCAGCCCCGGAGCCCCGTGCGGCGTGATCTCCAGCGCCGCCTCCCCGAGCAGCACCGGCCGCCGCTCCCCCGCTCTCCCCGCACCGGGACAAGGGTGCGCGTGCGGCCTTTCCCCTGTCCAGAGGCGCAGAGCTCCGAGAGCCAGGCCGCTGAGTCCCTCAGCCCAAGAGTTATCCAACAACCCGCAGAAGGCAAGGCCGGACGGCCTCAGGCGCCGGGCACCACCCGAATCGCCAGAGACGCTCCTAGCCGGCTCCGGCAAGGTCGCTCCGCCTGCCTGCCGCCCTGGTCCCGCCCCGAGCCGGCGGTCCGCGGCTCCCGCCTGACCCCGGCCTGACGTCATCACCCTGCGTCCCGGCGTAGTCGCGAGCTCGCGCAGCCGAGAAGATGTCTGCGACGCCGCCGCTCTTCAGTTTGCCCGAAGCGCGAGCGCGGTTTGCGGTGAGCCGGAGAGGCGGGAGGGCTCGGGCCTAACTCGACATTATTGTTTCCCTTTTCCCCCCGCTGAAAAATTTCTCGAATTGTTACCCTGGGATGAAGCGAAGCGGAGGGGCCCCGTCAGTGGTGGGGCGGTAGGAGAGCGCGCTACCTGCCTCTGCCGCGGGTCCCGCGCCGTCCGCCTCCGCCCTCTCGCGGACCAGCTTCCAGCGCCTTTGTGTGTCGCGCAACAAGCTCGGTTGCAGGCTGCTGCGTCAGGTCCTCCCCTCCTTGCCTGTCGCTGCGGGCGAGCGTCTCCAGAGGGGACCCAGCGAAGCGGGTGGGCGGGAGCTACTTGTCTGCGAGACCACGTTCCCGCGCCGCCTGGTGCCTGTGCGGTGGGCAGTTCCCCACCCGACCCCCACGGCGTCCCAAGAGAGTGACAGCAAGCACTTCACCCTGGGGAGGGTTAGCAGCTGCTCTTTTGTTCTCACCCAGCCGGAAAGGGTAGTTCGAGCATCTGGGGAACATTTTGGGTGCATTTTCACGTTAGCGCACTTAACTATTAGGATAACGCTAAAATAAGCTGAGTTTTCTTGTCTCTAGTACGTGAGATAGAAACAGCCCCTCCCCTCATAAGTTAAGTGACGAGATGGTTTCGGACCCAGCGTTCTTTTTATATTGCCCATCATAGCAGTGTGTGTGTGAAGAACAGAGACATTTGACTTTGTCTCTGCTGTTTGCATTAGTCTTTGAAGGCAGTATTCAACTACTCAGATATTTAACTCTTAGATGTTAATAGTGATGGCAGAACCAAAGAGAAAATGATTCTTTGGGGGCAGTAGTTTTCCCACATAAATGTGTGTTTGTGTGCGAAAGATTGTAGCTTGTTTTATGTTATCAGAATTGTCGCCTTTGATCACGCTTATCCTGAAAGGTGCTGTTTCATGGGAGATCATGCAGTCCAATGCTCCCAGGCTGCAGCGTGCAGTGCTGTCACCTGGAAATCTTGTTAAATTGAAGATTCTGATTCAGTAAGTCTGCAGTGGGGCCGCGAGTCTGCAGTTGTAACAAGTTCCCAGGTGATGCTACTGCTGCTGCTCATGGTAAGGCTCTGTGACGACCCTCCTGTTTAACTGGTGAGGGAAAGGAAGCACACGGAGATGAAGTTAACCAATCTGTTAGTTGCAAAGCGAGAAGTAGATGTTTGCAGTGTAGTTCTAATCGCTCCTCAGGTAATAGAACGACTTTCCAAGTACATAGTGAATGTGCACAGAGTGAATGACTTTGCGATGTCGCCGTCTTTAAGTTTTGACCACTTTAACACAATCAGAAGATACTTATTCTCAGCTTACTGTTTGTCAGAGACTGTTGAGCCTGGTATCTGGAGGAGGCAGGACTTGCAATAAGCCTGGCAGAATGGATAGAATTTGAATGAGTGTGTGGGAAGAACAGCATGAATGTGAGAATACACCAGAATAAACTGATAAAAAATGATTTTTAAAAATAGCCAGACTTTAGTGGGAAGGTAGGTGTTAGAGAGTAGGAGGAAAAGTTAGGTAGCTTGCGTAGTATATTACCAGATATGTTGAGGGTGCTATGAATGTTCAAAGACAAAACATTTAAATAGGGATCCATTTGGAGTTTGGTTTTGGTTTTTGTTTTTTAAGCAGGATACTCTCCTTGATGTGGGACTTACAGAAATAGTAAGAGGAGGTCCACCCCAGTAGCTCACTTCTGTGGTCCCAGCTAATTGGGAAGCTGGCTTTGGGATCAGCCTGGGGCATGACCCTGCTTGACAGAGAAGGAGAGAGGAAACTTGACTGAACAAGTCTATGCTCTACTCAGATTTAAAATGATAAGGATCTATGTCATTAAGAGCCCTTAAAATAAGGATTACTGAGAGAATGATAGGCAATTTTTCCCGATTTTAAACATTTCTTAGAAAGATAGACTATTGATGAATGATGTTTTTCAGTAAACAAACTCCAGTGTACTGTTTTTATTTTTCTAGAAATCTACCAGAGAGGCCTTGAATAACAAAAATATCAAACCATTGTCAAGTACCTTCAACCAGTTACCTGGCAGGTAAGGCATTACTGTCCTTGAAAAATATCTGACTGAATATTTGTTTTTTAATTTTTTTTTTTTTTTGGTACCTGGAATTGAACTCACCACCTTGCGCTTGCCAGACAGGCACTGTGCCACTGAGCTATATCCCCTACCCAGCTTGAATATTTATATTTGCCCTGAAATGTGTAAAAATAGGGCATCTTTTGTTTTTAATAGTGAAAACGAAAAAAAATGTACCCTGGACCAAGCTTTCAGAGGTATTCTAGAAGAAGAAATTGTAAGTATGTTTTTCCTTTATTCGTTGTTAAACTTTTGTTGGTAAATAAATCATGTTATAATCAAGTTAGAAAATTCCTTTTATTCTTACGATGAATATGTAAACATGACTTTGTCAGCGTGAAGTTACTGCTTGTGTGATTTTATCATTGGTGTAGGAGTTACGTCATAATTAAGAATTTTGATAACACAGGGCCATTTAAGGTTTTGGTGATAAATATAACATTTGGTTTTAACAAGTGAGAAGTAGTAGTTAAAGTTGGGTTCTGTCCCTTTGCTGTATAAATTTAATGGATTGGCCTCTAGTGGCATAAACGTTTAAGGACATTCAGCTGGGAATTAGGATTCCATGCCCATGTTTTCGTGTGATATCCGAGGCATCAATAAGCATACATAAATAAGGCTTCTCTACCTTTAGTAGAGAAAGCCTATCTGTGAAAAGTATGAATTTATTTGCTATTAGTGGCAATTAAAAGAAACTTTCTCAGCAGTTTGTTCTAGAGGTTGACTAGATCCTCTCATAGCCATAAAAGTTTCCCCTTTTCTCAGACAGTTCTAGATCCAACTTACTCTTTCCTTTTCTTTAGACTTGATCCCTTCTGTTGTGAGGGATTGGGGAAGTGACTTTCCCCAATATTGTGAGCTTCAGTTTCATTTACAAAAGGGAAGATGCATTCTTTCCATGTTCTTGTATAAGACAGCGCAGTATGCATTCAGTAAATGCTGGCTATTTCAGTTGTGTAATACCTGACTGGTACTGCCCTCCTGAGAAACCCCTCCTCAGATGCCCCGATGCACGGCATTGGTATCCCCAGCCCACCTTTGCCTGCTGCCGTGCACTGAGTGGTGGGCTTAGGACCTCTATACAGCATTAGTCAGGTTCATGTCTCCTTTTTCCTGAGATTTTGAGAAAGTTACCTACTTATTATTTATTTGATATATTTCTAGAATTATTAATTGTATATATTACTACTCATATTTGTATTTTCGTTTTAAAAAATAATTTTATGTTCTGTGAGAATTATTTTTATTCCATATTGTGATAAGCAGGTTATGTCAGAGGACTTGTGTTTCTTGTTATCAGATTATCCTGAACGCTTGCCCCTAAATTGTTTCTCCTCTGTTGGTAGATCAATCACTCATCATGTGAAAACGTTTTAGCTATTATTTCTCTTGCTATTGGGGGAGTAACTGGAGGTAAGTGTGGTTTGGTTTGGTTTTATAAAGTTATCGAGACATGACATGTTTGTTTAAAACTTTTCCCTATACCTCTCCACCTGTCTGATTTTGTTCATTCAGATTCTGCCTGACTCCACCTTTGGTAACAATTTGTCCCAAGCAAATTAATTCACACTTATTTCTCATCTCTACTCTGCACTGTACATTTTGGCACTTTCTTTGCTTTCCAGTTGTTTCATTCATTCACTAAATATGTACTGAGCATCTATTTGTCTGGTACTATGGACTTGGGATTCAGTAGTGAATAAAACGTATTTCCCACTGATACCCATGTAGTGGTTAATGGAAAACAGATGTGTGAATATCTTACTGGGGTGTACTATGGTGGGCATGAGTTGTTATTGAAGGGAGTTAAAATGACTAAATTCAGAATCTAAAATAATCAGAAGAGCTTTTACACATCAAAGTAACATGAGGGCTGGAACATGAGAGATCATGATTTTGAGAAGCAAAGAAGGGAATGGTTATTATACAAAGGCCAAGTTCAGCATGCCAGAAAATGTGTGGGAACCCAAGGTGAGAGGAGGATGCGAGTGGAAAGGAAAGAAGCAGGAGGGAGGGTTAGATCCTTTGTATGTTCCACTGCACGGTGCTTCAGGAGAACAGTTGGACTGGCAGAGACTGTTACAGTGGGGCAGTGGTGTATGAGGTGGCTTTCAGAAACCTTAAATAAGTCACTTAGTAACTGTACAGTAGGGCCAGGGATTTAGCTCAGTGGAATAAGCGCCTGCCTGGCAAGCATGAGATTGTGAGCTCAATCCCCAGTACCAGAAAAAAAAAATAGTAACTTTACACTGCCTGGCACATAGTAGGAGCTCATTAAATATTTTCAGAAGCCAGATGTGGTGGCTCACACGTGTAATTTCGCACCCAGGAAGCTGAGGCAAGAGGATCCATTTGAGTTTGAGACCAGCGTAGGCTACAAAATGAGTTCTATAAATTGAATCGAAATAGTAATAAGACAGTAGGTTCTGTTTTATTCCCTTTAACATTAAATTTTTAAAAAGTGAGTTCAAGGCCAGCCTGGACTACATAACAAGATCCTGTCTCAAAAAATTTTTTTCAGAAAAAAATAGAAAGTAGTTCTTCAACATTCTTTAAGTAATTTAATTAAAATACTTATTTCATTAATTCAGATAATTTATGTGAGAACTACCTTTTAATCTGTAAAGCAGTGTTCATAGGATCTATTATTTTGCTACTTACTGCAACAAAAACTGGAACATACAAGGCAAAAGTAGTCTCCCAGTGTCATACCCAGTTATTTTGTGATTTTAATTCCTAAAGTTCTGACTGCCTGCTAAACTTTTATATAAGCTGCATAATCATTCATTCATTAAGCAAGTTTAAATGAGTTCACCATACAGTTTTTCTTGCCTCTTTTCTGTCAAACAGTTTGCAGTGTGTGTGTGTGTTTAGTTCATTGATTAACATTATTCTTCTAAGAGCAATGACATTTTCAATACTTGAAGTTGTACTGCATCTATACTTAGAACTTTTACTTTGAGAAACATGAGAATTAGGAACTTAAACTATAAAGAAAGGCTTAGGTGCATTTTTATTGGAGGAAGGATGCTTGAGAGATTATCTTTGTGTATGTAACATGTTTGCAAATTGTCCATAAATATGTTTTCTTACTTTTTAAAAATTTATTCTGAAGGTAGTAAAATACAACAGAACAAGACAGAACAAAGCCAACTGAGACAGTGTAGTGAAATTGGTACTTCACAGCAGGTTATCAGGATAACAGTAATAGATATCACAGTATATCTCGTATCTTCACAATAATAGTTATTCTTTCAATCGCGTATAGCAAAATAAAGTGAAGAACTTATCAAAACAGAATATTGAATAGAACAGTACCATTAATCAGAATGAAGCAAAACAGTAGTAAAAATATTTGCCTTCAAAAAGATGGTTGAAG